GCTGAAAATTTTGCAAAAAAAAATTTAACTGAAGAATGTCCTTATTCAAATTACAGGGATGAGAAGGATATAGTGCTCTAAACTAATAACTTCTTCTCCAAGACCCTCAGACAACGTGGCCTTGAAGGTGTTTATAGAAATTTAAAGACAGACAGGACAGCCTAGAACATTACAGTGATCATACTGCATAAGGACAAATCCATCCCTTGGAGCTACCTACAGGCACACTTTGTATAAATCTTTTTAGAGCACAGTCTGAATAGTCTATTTAGAAAATTGATAAATGGAGTAACTGCTGTAATTTAGACCAACTATTAGGAAAAAATAGATTACAATTGACATTTCTAATCTAGATCCTAAACTACTCAGCCTCCAGCTGAAGAGACACAGAACATCAAAAGGAGTCCAAAGATTTCATCTTAATTTAACATTTGTGTACAAATTACAGCAGAAATTGTCATTCCAAGGATTATCCTTAGCTTGCATCACATTTTATTCTGTCACTGTATTCCCTCTTTTTGTATGTGGTATGTGTCTAGGTAACAACTCTACAGTAAAGAAGTTACAGCAAAGGACCCAGGCTGATTGATGTTTCAAAATCAAAAAAGCACACTGACACTCAAGATCTACTTAACACTGAAGCTGCTACTCATACTGCCTTCTCAATAATCTAAATGCTGAAAAAAAAAATAAAAAAAAATAGATGCACATCTTGGAAAGCAGAGAATATTCTTATGTCTGAATTTTCAGCTAGTGGTTTGAAAAGCTCACTTATTCAGCAGACAAGTTATTTGCCAGCATTTGAGACATCTACAGCTGCAGATCCACACAGTGATTTACCTGGTGAAGGATCTGGGTCTGACAGAATGCTGCCTTAGATCTCACCCACTACACAGCTAGGTTCAAATTGAAGTCTGAGCTAGAGTTGCTGCAAAGTTCCCAAATTCAAGATCATCGAGTGAATCGAGCCCTTGGGGAAATGGGAAGGAGATATTCCCACACACAGCACAGGTACAAAGCCCATGCTATGCTTGGCCATCACTTACCATCTCCAGCATTGTACTTACATGACATGGTGTGATAGATGCTGGGCCAGTATTGTCCACTGTCTCTCTTCAGCCATACTCGTATTGTTCTGTGTTGTGACAAGAGTGGAGAGAAGACAGCTGTAAGTGCATCATCCCACGCATCTGAACCAGTTCATTACTCATGTATCAGCTTCAATCCTCTTAGTTTTTGTGCTACTCAAATGTAATAGAGGAAAAACATAATGGAAATAATAGTACTCTAACATAAAAAGAACAATAGTACTAAGTACAGATTCTGAAGAGTTTTCTTCAGAACTGTTTATACATGGACTTTCAGTAAGTACAAAATAGAAATACTATTTCAGCTCACCTCAGAAATTGCTACATATTGTATTCCTTTAATTCCTTCTCCTTGGCTCACCCTGATTTAAGTCAAATTCAAGTTGTAGGAACTCTCCAGCTTTGGTAGAGTAAACCACAGCCTGTTTTATAGCAGATTAAGTGTTTGGTAAGTTTTTTAAAAAAAGAGAAGAATTGTAAATCATTCCATTATGGAAGTCTGAGCTTTTGAATTTTTACAGCTTCTTTGTGCAACTCATCCTTCAGCAAGCCAGATACTGAATATCAGTAACAGAAGCACCTTGTTCTCCAGACCAGCACATTACTGACATCTCCATCCCTAAATATTGTTGTATGGATCCATAGAGGACATCACACCTAGTTCAGTATTATTTCCTCTAAGCCATGCCTCTACTCCCTCATGTATGACCACAAAGGACAAGCGATGTAAGTAGCACTGATACTTTGCACTGCTTCTCTGGCCTAAACACCAACAGCATTGATTAGCCAGTCAAATGGGAATTGAAAGAAGCTGACAAGATGATTTGGAAAGCATGCTAAGGCTCTTTATAAAATGGTTGTTAGTTTGTAACCTTCCAGAATCAGGCCTTGGGAGGAAAGGGAAAACAGTCTTGAGAACATTTAGTATTATACCACTCATGACTCTCAAATCCTGGGAGGAGGGATCCAAGAGAATCAGCAAGGAAGTGGAAAATTATTGTCAATTAAAAGCATTCCTACAACAGGCACATTTGAAGGGAATCTACATCAAGAAGCTAAGACACATGTAGACAGTGCCAAGGTTATTTTAAGTCTACTTGAAATATCCTCTCCAACCATTGTCTGCCTTCTTGTTACTGTTTAAATCCAACTTCCCCGTTCCTAAATGGAAACCTAAATGATCTGTAAATATGTGTACTTGGAAAGACTGTCAAGGGACTTGATTGAGATGAGTTGTTCCATTTACTTTTAGCTAAAAAAAGAAAAAA